AATTAGCTTTTAAAACAACGTCTCTATATTTACATTTTCACACTCAACTGTAATGCTGTCATTTAATGTCTTGTTTTCAGACTGCATCTTAAAATAAACTTTTTTTTTTAAATAGAGGATGTATAAAAATTACATGTCCTGGATGTCAGGAGCTGGAAGTAATTAAATCAGAGTTTGTAACCAGATGATTTCAGAATGACCAGTTGTGTTTCCCTTCTCCCTCCTGCTTCTTTTGCACGTTAAGACGCTGAGTCACGTGAAATGTTATGTCTGAGGTCGGGAAGAAGATTAAGTGCTACCTGGTAAACGCAAGCAGTGCCAGAAATACTACTGCTGTCCTTTCACGTGCCACTTTTCTTGACTGCTGCTGGAAAGGTGAAGTGATTCACAGGGAGTATAATTCAGACTCAGTGAGGAGATGCTCAGAGTCCCGTCCAGGCCTGGGGATAGGGAGTGGACCCTTTCGTGCCATGTTCACAGAGGCACGTCACAGGCTATTTGTCATGGTTAGCATGTGTGTCTAAGTGTGTGTTTGGGGGAGGGGATGACTGAGAAATGGTCACATCTTAATTCCACTGGTGGACCTTTGGTCTTTCTTCAGTGGCCCGGCAGAATCTGTCATTGCTTTGCTTTGCTTTGTCATGAGTATGACAATGATGACAATATTGGAGAACACTAGTATCAACACTGAGAATAATACAACATATTCATTATAAATGTCAAGTCAGATTAATTTTGCTTACATAGACCAGTATCACATTTTTTCTTCAACTAATTCCATAAATGTGACACCCTCTATCTATAGACCCTCAGGTCACATAAGAAAAAAACCTTTAATTAACAACAATACAAGGGAAACATTGAGAGGAGGAATTGAGGCGATGGATCTGTCTTCCAGTATAGATTATGTAACATGTTGTGTGCATAGAATACGAACTGACTGTATATAAAATGGTTGAACCCTTCTAGTCATGGCCTATGGGTTTCCTCAACAGCAGTTTTGAAGCTCAGGTTCCGACCATCACCTTCCTGATCACTCTTGACTCCCAGTTAATCTAAAAATGAGCCAACAGGTGGAGCATGGATGGAGCTCAGGAGGACTATACAAAGGTATTGGGCCATGGACTGTGCTGTGACCCACATTCAAAGTGGCCACATCTATGAGATATATTAAAATGAACCCCCCTCACAGCTGTCTCCTAATGGGTACAATACAGACAGAAACAGTTTTTTGTGCCCGGATGTAAACATGATTATTTCTGCTGTGAATTGGACATTTTACCAAATGGGGGGATTGACTCACTTTTGGTGCCAGCCTCAAGTGGCCATTTGAGGAATTGCAGTTGACAGCACTTCCAGGTTGGAAAGAGTAAGTTACACAATCCAACTTACAATATGGAATATGAAATGACAGTATTAGGTTAGCGTTGTAGATTGCAAACCTATATGAAAAATGTGTATCGTGGAGGACATCAAGCAACCACTAGATGCTGCAAAAATAGGTTCACACAGCTTCCACACAAGAGGAAAACCTCAAGGACTCCATTCACATGTGCAGAGAAGGACCAAGGACACAATTCACACAGAAGCATAGACACACAAGAGCTGAGGTGAGTCAATTTATTACCACAGACTGGATGCACGAGATTGACGTAGCCACTGTGACGTCACCCGGTGGTTTGTGGACGACCATTTTGAAACCTCAAATTTGGCATTCTGGCCGTCCCTGCCTGGGTTTCTTTGAAAATGGACATGAAGAACAAATGGACGTGGATCTGACTGAGAACTTGAGGGCACTACACATGTCCATGCATTAATGACTTGTCAGTCACAAGAGAGCCACGCCCTAAAACATGTCCTGCTCTATCATGTATTTTCCTCCAAATGGGACCATAATCTGCTCAATTAACATTCTGCTGTTTTGACTTGAAAATAGCACCTGAGACCATAAACACATTTAAAAAATTATTTACTGAGGTAACAGGTCAAATGAGAAGGAGGGCGGTTTTCTCAAAGACTTCTCTGCAAGTGGACTTCTTTTTGCAACCAGAGGAGTCGCCGCCTGCTGGCCATTCGATAAAATGCAGGTTCAAGTCACTTCCACATTGGCTTCCCCTTGGTGAGGAAATGGATGAACCTGGAATCAATCAGTGGTGGATAAAGAAAATAAGGGGCTATGATGGCAGCGTCAGGGTTCTGCAAATTGCGGCATCATGGTTTGACTCATTGTTTAAAAGAATCATTTCGTACCCCCCATCCCTGGATATCGACATGTTGCCACTGTGTTACTATTTCTGATTAAAAATGACAGCATACTGTATAGATGCCGGCCAGATTTGCTTTTAAAGGATGATGGCAGAGCTGAAGCGAAATGAAGCATAAGCCCAGGGGATCAATACACCCCAGAGTGAGTCAACAGGAGACACACACACAGAACGTTCCTTCCTTCCAGAGAGGAAATGTTCACTCCATAAATATTTGGACTTTGCTAATTGAAAGAATCTGCGCAGCTTAAATTCTGGGAGGTTCTTTAAACACTGTGCTCATATGGATTCTTTGTATCTGTCCCCTTGTTCATTAGTGCCAAGTGAAATGAGCTGAGGCTATGGTAAACAGACAGACACACACATTCAAGGACACAGATGCACACACAGGTTCGATTTAATCAGCCACTGGCCACGCTGTGTGTTTGATAGTGAAGAGCCTTTTGTTTTGCTTTGCCATAAGTGGCACGTTATCCTGCTCTCCGATTGGCAGGCTTCTAACACGCAATACAGTGCCGATGCGCTCTAATGTAGGCAAATGCAAGCCGTCCGTTGGGAGAAGAGCAGACTGCTAGGAAATTCCGCTGAAAAACATGTTTGCATGTCACCGTGTTTGCATTCGGGGTTAAAAAATGTATGAACCTAGGTGTTTTTTTTACTGTAGCGCACACACACATGTCTAGCTACTTTGCAGACTGCTGTGCTGCAGGCTACGGAGGCCCCACGCTGAAAACTAAAGGAGACTACAGAGGAGGAATAAAAAGGCATGCCTAACAGAGGTTTAGCTTTGTCATGCATCCATAAAAGGAGAACAAAACTAATGGAGAGTAAAGCCTGCCATGCATGGATGTAAAGTCACTAAAATAACCTGCAGTTTCCCATATGAATAGAATTCCTTTACATACAAGATGCAGAATGAGTAAAATTACGTCAGCTGTGATATTTACGCACCATGTTTCACAATCAATTCAGTTACATAAAGCCATTTACCTTCACAGGATTTCATTGAGAGAACAGCCAGCCTCGGCAGACTCGGCTGACTCTTTGGGTCAAGTGCAGAAGCTCCTTCAGTGCGTGTTACGTGTGGCTTTCACTTTGTGTGCAGCTCATTTAGCCTCTGACTGTAACACGTATAGCGTGATGTGTTCTTAAGCCCTTCCACTTAACATGCTAGACTGATTGTTCAACCTCCGCGGCGTGAGCTGTCGCTGATAAGTTATGCATAACAGCACAGTTCGGAGACGTGTCTGTGTGAAATGACAAGTGACAAGGTGGGTTCTGGATCACGTTCTGTGCGTGCAGAAATCTCTCTTTCTTCCTGTTTCTCAGCCTCTCAGACAGAACTTAAACACATCAAGTCTTCACTCACATGATGGCTGGTGACAAGCCTGATGTGTGGCTAAAATATTATCATAAAGCGTAAATACTGTGAATCATTTTATTGCTTTCTTTTTTCTTTTTCTTTTTTTTTGCATTAGATGTGCCTTAACTCTTTTGGACCTCAGAACCTGCCAGCTAGTTTGAAAGGCATGCTCTCTTCAAAGAAAAATCAACAAAATGGCACCATTCATGAGAGCCAGGAACTGTAAAAACAGAAAAAATCGTAAGACATTCATCTTTACAACAGTCATGGAATGAATCATTAATGACATGATGTTGCATTTAAAATTATGTCAAAAATAAACGATTAACACAGAAATCTGTAAAAAAACAAAAAACAAAAAAACAACCTGCACTCTCCCTTTTAACCAAAGAGCAATGATTGACTCAGTAGCAACCAACAGTCACCTGACAAAAGTTAATGGACTACCGGCTGAACTGCAGGCTGTGTTCCAAGATAGGAGACAAGTACGGAGACAAATTAGAAATTTACAGGAAAACAAAGCATCTTGATCAATAAAATAAATGCAGCATTGTTCAAAAACGTTACAAAGAGGACCAAGTTGTCAACAAGTTGTTGAACGATACATTCAGGATGGTGATATAGCTTTCTAGAGTTGATGATTTATTAGGCTTAAAAAAAAAAAAAAACAGGACCTGAGTACCAATTTCATACCACAAACATGTAAATGTGAGCTGGCAGAGGTTGTGATAATGTAAGTAGTTTCATATTCATAGTATGTGGAGTGGACATTTTTACTCTGTATTTACTACACTGAGTGCACTTGCAAAATTGTTGTGCATGATGATTCCAGATTTCTTCAGGTTTATGTAAAAAAAACAAAAAAACAAAGACATTGTCAGTATAACTTAGTTTTGTTTTACACAATACAGTTTTGAGTTCTCTTTACCTCTATGGCTGGGATTTTTCCATAGAGTTACAGGACTTTATATTGTGCTGAAAAATGAAAAAGTAAAAATGTAACAGAAGCAAAAGAAAAACAAAAAACACCCAGAAAGTGCTCGGGGTTCAGAGGTTATTAACCTGCTAACATCTCCAACACAGGCCTAGTTTGTACATACAGCTGATATTCAGTAGTAATCATGTTGTCCACATGACTTAAAAAGAGCTAAAACAGAGAAGCTGCAGTCTGAACACCCACACTCACTGGATGTTTTTTTTTTTTGGCCAACAGGATTCAAGTGCAGGTTAACCTATAACTTTTCTGTTAAGAATCTTCAGTTACTCAGTGTTTATTCAGTTTAAACTGGCTTTCACTGAGATTCACTGTGGTCATGTGTGAGATACTTGGAGGACTCATGCATCAACGAGGACCCCTAAATTTCTGGACTAACATGATGCCACCAATGTCTGCAATGGAGACCAACAATGCTAGAAATCCTGCAGCCGTCCTCAGCAGGCCTCCTCCTAGCCCCGCTCACATGGGCACACCTGCTCCGCACCCTCGCACCTCAGTGAGCTTGCTGGATAGTGAGAAGATCGGAGTCACTCTGCTCTTCTCTGGAGTCTTCCTTGCTCTAGTGGGTGTCACATTCACTGCAATGGGATGGCAGCACCTCCACAAAAACCCCAAATATGAGTGGACCCAAATGCTGGGCCCCATCCTGCTCTCGGTCGGTGGTACTTTCATCCTCACCAGCGTCTGCAAGTTCAGGGTCATCTCCTGGCCCTGCAGACGGCTGGAGGAGGACGAACTCACGATACCTGTGAGGGAGCAGCCCTCAGTTGGCCATCCCTTCGTGTTTCATGGCATAAATCAGCCTGTCATGTTACAAGGCACCACAACAATGCTCTGCATTCCACCTGCATGTAACTTTACGACCTCAGAAGTATGCCAGGCCAGTGAGTTCCAGCCGGGCAGCTCCGTGAGTGGCATCCATGCAGCGCTTCCTCCGTATGAGGCCGTGTGCTGTGTGGACAATGCAGGCTTTACAGCAGAAGAAGGCAGCTCATCTCACGGGACAGAAACAGACCAGAGAAGAAGCCGGTAAGGAGCACTGCTTACACCACTCCAGCTTCTGGGAAAGCATTAACACATGAGGCATTATTGTAGTCCTGCTGGGGGCCTTCATTACTTAAATATGCTGTTATTGTGGACGTGTGGTTTTAGAGGGCAGGTACACGGATCTGTTTTTTTTTTTTTTTAAACATATGAAGTCATCCTAAGGGAATGGGTTTCCTGTGAGTTTTCCTCTTTACACAGCACGCAATATGTTGACACCAGAGCAGATAAAACCGGCACAGACGGAGTTAATCTTAAGTCAGATTTGCGTGCGTTAAAACTCACAGCTTCTCACAGTGCTCATTAAAACAGACACAGTGTGCCAGAGTTCATTTTGTATTAACCACAGAATCACTTTTCACTTGGCTGTCATTGCACTCGCGGCCAATTATGGTGGAACTAATGTCTGTATGATAGTCAACACATTGGTGTGGATTCACATATATGACTGTACTGCCAGCAATGTGCCACACAAGTACGGGTTATTGTCACTCTGAATATGAGTGAATAAAATAATGTAATATTCTTATTTCATTAAACAAAATAAGCCTTGAATCAATGAAACTGGAAAAAGTAAGATTGAAATAGCTCCACTTCTTTTCATATAATCCCTCTTCTGGGGTATAACGTCATATCAAAGACAGTTTACTATATATATATATATGCTTTGTAAAGGAAAAGCAATTTTTAAGCAATAATTTTTGGATCATCATATTTTCCCACCTGCTCCAAAAGCTGCAAGAATCATTATATATTATCATTAAAAAAGTTTCTTTCCACTAATTGCAGGATCTCACTTATTTGAAATCGATTCAAACATCCTCAGACAGACGTCCTGCTAAACAGAAAAGCTGCATTCCATTAGCGGAAAGTTACAAGTTTTCACTTTCTTTTATTGTTTTTAGACAATTACTCCCAGCAGGTTTCCAGGAAAGCAGTTCACTTTAATAAAAGCAGACAGCAGGAATAATACAGTTAACCTAGGATAACTATAAACTGCTGCCCTGATCATATGAACACATGCTCGGCTCACCAGCTCGCTCTTATGTTGTCACAACTCCTGACCTGTTTTAGTGTGTTTCCAGGGGTTAATGCCAAATAGAGGAATGATCAAGGGAGAAATTGCTCAATCTCTGTGTTTTCCTTTAAAGGGCAATGGGCTTTAAGCAGAACCAATTGGGCCGGTAAACATTTGGATATTAGTTCTTCTTTTACATCCAGCCTGCCTGAAAAAAAGAAAAAAAAAAAAGTGTTGTTTGTCTTTGATTTCTCACAGCATGCCGAAGACAGAAGGTGAAAGAGGACGAAATGACGAGAGCAGCTCCACCTGCTCACGTCCACCTGCATACGAAGACATCTACCCTTCGCTTCACAAACACAATCCAACATAAATATCTCCCGGAATCATCGGTGACATTCTTCCTTTTTTCTTGTTAATGGGTTCAAAAGTGATGTCTTTTGCAAAGTAAACCTACAGAGTCCGCGGTGTTTTCATTCCACTGCAAAACAAGAGTAACTCAACTTATAGGTTTAACTTTCCCCACACAGCTGTTATCATGTGGAGCTACCATTATAATTATGTATGAAGTCATAAAATCCACTAAGATGAGGCTCCCTGGAAGAAAAAAAAACTCATTAAAATGGAGATTTATGGACAACCTCGGCTCTATCTGAAGCCTCCAAGGTTTAAGAAATTTATATTCAGCATAAAAACGCACACATTTATCCCCGTGCTTGTTGTCTCTCAATAGCAAAGCGCCCTACATGCCCATTAAATGCTGGCACAGGAAATGCAGACAGGCCACTATATATTGCCAGAAAAAGAAATGGAGATAATTCACCAGAGATACTTAAGAAAAGTTTTTCTTTTCTTAATGTTGTAGGCTGGAGAAAATTAACATTTATAAGAGGGGTGAGAGAAGACAGTTTGGTTAGTAGATTGCTCATGATTGTGTAGGAAAAAAAGAGAACTCCTAAGAATGAGCAGATCTTAGTTAGAAAATCATTTTTAAAGGTCAGTGAACATTTGATCACTGCTGCTACTTAAGACCATTAATAATGAAATCATATTGGACAAGAAGGATCCACTCAGATGAAGCAGTTTCTCTTTGTTTTCTTGACCTGTGGATTATTAACCAGATGCAGCCTGATAGTTTACTGAGGAGTTTTGTTTGCAGCACAAACACGAGTGTCACTGCACCACACGGGGGCAGAAACACTGAGCAAATCAGCACACCTTCAGTCAGTGCGTCAGGTCAGGTGGGTTTGTCTGGAGCAGAGGGCACAGAGCAACAGCATCCTGCTTCATTACAACAACAACAACAACAACAACAACAACAACAATAATAACATTAATATTAACAACAAAGCTCCATCATCTGTGCTCTTTTACATCAAGGCTGAAAACTTTGTCAATTCATCGAATCTCACCTTAATTTAGAACTATATGTGTATATATGTATTTTTGTTTTTTATTTTTATTTTTGTTGCCTTTTTTATGTCTTACACAGCACTTTAAATCGAAAATGTTGCAAATAAACTCGCCTGAAACAACGACCTGTGGGTGTTGAACTTAATTAAACACGTTAATGATTTTAAAAAATGTATATATATATAAAAAAAAGGACACAAATGAATCGGCTCAAGGACCTTTTTTTGACAGATGGAGCAAAGAAACAGATGTGGATGCAGACATTACATAATATTCCCCAGAGCCAGTGTGCCACGTTTAATTAAACAGATAAATAAAAATAATAGATATATAAAAACACAATACATATATATATATATACGTTTTTGTTTTATTTATTCAACTGCTTTCTATCTGTTCATTATTTGTGCCTTAATTTGGAAAAGTAAAAAAAAAAAAAGAAGCTTTATAAACGTGGTCTTGAGGAACTTTACAAGCCAGTCCCTCTTAAAATGCTGCTCGCAAAAATAAAATTGTAGGTGAAAAAACAAATATTTACAATACAACTAAATATATGGTTGACGTTTGGGAGTGGACTTTTTCTTTCCTTTTTTTTTTCTAACGGGATTGTTTATGTGGTTTTCTTTTAATTGGACTTCGCGAAACTGAATCCGAGCAGCAGGACAAACAGTTTAAACTGAGTTAATCCACTTTTTTTTTTCATTTCTTTTCTTTTCTTTTCTTTTTTTTCTTTGGATGAGAGGTGACATGTCACTGCTCGGCTCGGAAAATATGGATTTGATAAACTGAAAGCATACTTTTCCCTCCAACACTTGCTCAAATCCCTACATTTACGCTCGGCGCTGCTCCAAAACTTACGCGCGCAGCAAACAACTCTCCAAAAAAACGCAAAATTCATAGCAATTTAGCAAACATCCCAAGACCTCCTTCAGACTTGTGCCTGTGCGGATCTGAAACCGCAGCGCAATATGACTTTCATTATTTTTACAGCACAGTAAAATGCGGGTGGCCGACAAGGCCCCATTATTTCACCATTTTGCAGAATTGGAGACGATTTATGAAAGTATTACGGAACATGCTGAACGATAACAACTCCGTCATAAAAGAGAGGCGAAAAAAGTGGAAGTGTTCGCCAAGAAAATCCCACCAGAAAGAGTCCTGATATGAGTTTTTGAAGGTTATGAATAGGTTATAATCGGTAATTTTGCGGTTAATAATATGGGAAGCCTCTTTATGAATTCCAGCTGGAGGTCTTTAAAAGTCAAACTGTTATTTACAATCATATGCAAAAGAAAAGAAAAATAAAAACCTGCTTATTGGACATTATTCTTGAAAAAAAACCCCGAATACACAATTATTCCTCTAACTAGGTGGATAAACTTTTCTGCAAATTAAAAATACTCATAATAACGCTGGGGATGTGTCCAGCTCTCTTTGAGGCAACAGGTGTTTTCTGCCTTTGTTTTTGGCCTCTGCTGGACTGGAGCAGCTCCAGTGTTTTCTGTCACGTGTTTCCCAGGATGAGCATGTATTGTGAGGCCACTAAAGTGGTTTGATTGTGCAGGAGGCCCGAGCTGGAGGCCCTCTCACTTTAAACCACATGTGCTCCCAGCTAAACATTTGTGGACGGATTTGGAAACTACATCTGAGATGGCATTTTCCTTTTGAAATCAAAAATACCAAAGGGTCAGATAATCCCTGGAAATCATGATTAGACCAGAGTGATTAGCAGTGACCTTGCTCTGCATGCTGGCAGTGAGTGGACGGAGACATTGTGTTTGCATTGTTACAACACCATACTCCCATACGGTGCACGGCTAATAGGAGGGAGAAGGCTTTGGTTCTGAGCAACTCACAAACAGCTGAAGTTGGTGTTTAGTCTGTAACTTGAGCTCATTGTGTGCGGAAATTCGCTTATAACTCTGCTCTCAGCACGGAGCTTTGTTTTGACTGACAAAAAAGCTAAAGCCAGACTCTGTAGGGAGAAAAAAAAAAAAAAAAGAAATGTTTAAAGTCAGTTTAGTTTCAGCACTTGTTCAACTGTCAGTTAAAACAAGCTGAGATATCAACTGAAGCTCTCAACACAGCATATTGTTCCATCACATGTAATAAAACCACCATCTGACTTGTTCTGTGTCATAGATTTACACTTAAAACATCCAAATCTCTGCGCTTTGTGCTTTTCACCAACAGAGGAATCTTCAAGAGGAAAGTTTTACATGCAGATTTCCGCCTCACATGGTTGCAGTCGGTGGAAACTTTCTCCACCAGAATCTAGTTTAAATTTGGCTTCACAGTATTCTTGTTTTTAAATTATTATTTTCTGTCCCCTTGTTAAGTTTTTAAACTGTTTCCAATTAGCCCACTGTTGTATTAACTGTGTTATCAGTCGTCAGCATTGAAATGTTTTAGCCATTTTTATTTCTGTAACTGAGTTTCTATTAAAGGACCATTCAACCAAATTCCACATTTCTAACTTGTGTTTGCTTTTCACCTCATCTCTTCTCTTTAAAGTGTTTTTTTATTATTATTATTTGAGCACAACCAACTAAATTCAATCTATTTCTGTACAGTTTCAGACAAACTTTTTAAAAACTTTCTGCATGATTTTACAGCAGAAGTAAATCAAACAATGTCCATGTGTGGATGTAACCTATAAGCGTCCTGCGTGTCTGTGTGTGTGTGTGGGATTGGCCGTGTTCAAGGAAGATTTTCCTCTAAAACGGCATTAAATTCCAGCAGCTTCTGACAGGACATTTCTTGTTATTCTGACTGGAGATCTGGCCAACCTCATTCATATTTTCGTCTCAGAGTCCCTCGTGAGTATTTTTAGCAGTTGAAAGTGGCTGTTTTCAAAATAAGTTCCTGACCGTATATCAAAAGATCCCAGTGCCACAGTGGTGGGCTCCGCTCGGTGCCTGCTTTCATTTCCTTCTGTGTGTGTGTGTGTGTGTCTGTGTGTGTGTGTGTGTGTGTTGCTACGTAAGAGCCTGTGCAACTACAGGGCATGGAGACTGGGGGGACAAATGGATTCCATGTTTGCAGGAAAACACGCTGGAGGCGCAGGAAAACTTTGTTGTTTATGAAGAACACGTGAAACCAATCAAATCTGAATTATCTTCCTGTTGTTCCAGCTTTTGTCGTTTGCAGTTTTTAGTTCGCTCGCCAGCAGTGTCACCACCCAGAGAGCAGGTCTGTGTCTGTGCATGAAAGGTAGGCAGATTACACACACACACACACAAGGACTTGACACACACACACTCAGTGTTCTTTCACTGTTTTCCTGCTCTGTGAGTCATTTGACTGGTTTGTCACATTTATGGAGCAGCATTTATTATGATGCTGCTTCTGGTGGTGATGGTGTTGAAAAATGTAAATTAACAGTTAATTTTATCCTTAAGATGCAGCAAGATGTTTTTCCGCTTCTCACACGAGTTTGCATGGGGATGAGCGTCTAAACCTCAAGGGGATCTGATAAATAGTCAGCCCACAGGAAATGATTTGCAGATCTCCTCTGCATAATAACCCATTTACATACTCAGGCTTGTATAGAGCTGTGCTCGGAAACACACAGTTCCACTTCTTCCTAACTCACACCATATGCACACACAAACTTACAGGTACGTGCAGTTACTTGGAGACACACTCACATCTGCAAACACCAGCTAAAGTGCCCACACACACACTTTCTTGTTTTTTAGATCCAGGCTGAAATGACTGCTCCCTGTTTTCCAGAGCTACTGTGGCAAAACTATCAGACACTCAAGTCATTTTTCTTTTTTATTGACTGTAAGCCAAATACTGTACATGTAGCACACGATGAAGCCATCCCCCCTCCGCCGCCCCCCCATCTGTCTAATAACTTTCCCATCACATTTTTTTTAACGATCAAACTCCCTCCCTGGCTCACCTCAGAGAGCAGGTGTTCAGCTCATTCACAGAGAGCACAGCGAGGTCAGC